CGTGGCTACCATTTTGAAAAAAAAATGTAGAAACACTTTGCTTAAATTACTCCATAATGTAAATGAGAAAAATGAAATACAGTAAAACCTTGAATTGCAAGTAACCTCTTCTGCGAGTGTTCTGAAGACGAGCAAACATTTCTAATAAATTTTAACTTGATAAGCAAGCGATGTTTTGCAATACGAGTGGTGCATGATGCCGAATGTCAAGTGATCACAAATGAGCCAAGGGTTATCTCTCTTCTCTCTCTCTCTCTCTCTCTCTCTCTCACACACACACACACACACACACACACACACACACACACACTGCAGAATTGTGGGTGATCTACTCTCATGCTCAGATGCTCAGTCTCAGGCCACAGTGTTTGGCAGAAATTCATGATTTTTCAGAATGTTGGAAGGAGCCCACAACCACTGGCTCTGGTGTATCTTTTGTTACTTCAAAGCACCAATGGACAGTCGCTTGCTTTTCCATACAAGCGGATGCTTAGGAACCCTTTGCTTCATTCTAGGTCAGGCTGCCTGCAGATATAGCCACTTTCCTCTGCTGCCTTATTGCCAGTTACACTAAATACAGTATATGACAAGAGTTTATTAATACTGTGCTGTAGTCAACATCTGTGTGAGCGTATACAATGGCCCCCATGCAGAAAGAGATTCCACTGAACCAATAGATAGTTGTAACTCCATTAGTGATAGTGAAAGTCATCTTATACAATAACTCTCCTCTCTCTTGTCTCCCTCACACCAGCCACGAAGGTTTTAAGCACAGGTTACTTTGTTTATTTTTCTTTATATTTTGTATTTTATTTATTATTTTGTATTATACTATTGTAATCATTTTTATATGAATATTTTTGGGTTATGGAATGAATCATCTGAGTTTCCATTATTTCTTATGGGGAAATTCAAGTGATATGCAAGTGCTTTGGATGACAAGCACATTTCTGGAATGAGTTATGCTCGCAAACCAAGGTTTTACTATATATATTTTCTCTACGATAGAGCATGCCCCAAAACACTGAAGAAAAGAGGTAAGTGTCTAAATGAGATGGTGGCAGCTCTGAGTGCCTTTGAAGCTTTGGAAAAGTTTCGTTCCGTGAAAGCACTCTTTAATATGCACAACTTATTCTTATTCAACACCTGATCAGATTTCTCTGCTCTTAGGAGGCCTATAAGGTTTTTCTCTTGCTCAGTTATTAGCCACTGCTGGAATGACATTTTCAAAATTTAGAAATGTGTTGAAGTCTGTAGAGCCATCACTACTGTTAACCATTTCACTCCATGGTCCCCGAGAACGAGGAACTGGCTTGCAACGTGGCTAAGGAAAACAAGCATGTATTCTCAGAATTCACAAAAGTAAACTCACATGTGGAGTAAGTGGAGTTTTTTGCACCGTTGGCTTTATTTTTCACATTATTCTTGGTGGTGGCAGTGGTAATAATGGAAATAGATTAAGAGCAGTGGCAGACATGTTAGAAATTATAATAGCTGTTACCTGTTAATAGTATTCGCAGCAACCATAGTACAGTAACAGCAAAAATCACTTATTTTAATGTTACAGAAATAGAAGAACAAGAATTACAATTATAGTTTTTATATATTAAAAGATTCTTTCATATTTTTACTCATTTCTGTGGAAACAAGATGAGACTTCACCTTTGAAATTTGGGAAATTGTAGCCCTAGAAAAGTTTTCCTGATGAAGAGAAGCACTAGTTAAGGATTTGTATTGTTATACCCAGATCGCAGTATCCTCACCGACCAGAGACCACCAGGGAGACCGAGTCACACATGCAAAGGCAAAGGGCTTTATTACGGGCTGGAGCTCGGGCTCACAGACTTCACCAGCACATGGATCCGTGCTGAGAGCCCCGAACAAGGGCAGAGTAGGGTTTTTATGGGGTTTGAGACGGGGGAGTTACAGAAGTTGTGACATGGGAACAGTGATCCAATCATAATTATACAACATCACTGACAGTGGGTTTGACCATACACATTGCCTAGAGTATTCGTTACTTTTGGCGGGATCCAATTACAACGTTTAGAGTACCTTTACATTCAACCAATCACAGAGCGAGCCTAGGGTCTTGTTCGGAGACTAACAGGTTAACTTTAACATTAGGTAACAGGGTCCTATCTATAGTTTCTATCTCCAGGCCTCTCCCTTAGTAATGTGGAGGGTGGTCGCTGAACTTTCCTGATTGGATGTTGCAAGGGTGGTTTCTCCTGCCTTGGGCAATGTGTAACTGCCTGATAGTTTCAGGAAAGCTGAAACTCAGGCCTTCTAGTTCAGAGGGGAAACTTAAAGCCTGTCATGAAGTCGGTTTGGTTTAGACGTTTAGACTTGTGGCCTTACAGTATGATTTGAAAACTGAGTTACGGAGAACAGAGAATAATTTTTTGCCAAATCTATGTGGAAATATCCAGAGATAAAAGTACACATATTTGTATCTTATTTTTTAAGAATTAACAGTAAGAATTAAGTATCTGAAATCATTTATGGTCCTGCATTTTGCAACTCTGTTTCCTGGGAATTGCTGCTGCTTTTCTTAGACTTGTTTTGGGAAATTAATTTAGTATTGATTCACAATTATCGTATTGCCTTGATTACTGCCCTATTTATTCTTTAAATCAAGCAAAGTTCTTCCATTAGTTCATGGAGAATAGGGAAATAACTATTCAGAGCCACTGTCCCTTACAGAACATTCTCAGAGTATAATTTAATCCTTTCCTTGAAAGATCATACTTACAGGGGTACCTGGGTGGCTCAGTCAGTTAAACATCTGACTCCTGACTTCAGCTCAGGACATGATCTCATAATCTGATGGTTTGTACAGTTTGTGAGATCAAGCCCTGCATTAGTCTTTGTGCTGACAGTGTGGAGCCTGCTAGGGGATTCTCTCTTTCTCTGTCTCGCTGCCCCTTCCCAGCTTGTGCTCTATCTCTCTCAATATAAATAAATAATCGTTTTTAAAAAGAAGAAGGAAGGTTATTCATACTGATACAGAATTTTTGTATCCACCTTAATGGTGAAAATATAAAAACATGCTCATGAGGATAGGAGAAAATAAAACAAATCATAGGTTCTGAAAAATAGTTACTCTTCATCTTTATAATTTTAAGAATGTGATATTCACTTTGAACTTTGATTATGACTCTGAAATTTTACAGGGAGATAAAAGTGATGACTGTGTCACTCTATCTTAAGATCATTTAGTACAATTGAGATTTGTGAAATAGTACAAAATTCTGCCCAAGACAGATGAAATTTATTTTGAAAGCTATTACTTGGCATTTGAGAAACAAGAAGTAATCAATGATTAAAATACATGGTAAAGAGTTCAATAGTTAAAATATATTTTTAAGTGAATAGCTAAAATTTAATTATGCTACTGATGAAAAATGAAAAGGAAGTTCAAAGGAATAAGACGTTGCTGAAAAGAAATTAATTTCAAGGTAAATAACTGGAGATTTAAATTTCCAGTAACTTATCTGGAAATCATAGCTGAGAATTTGAAACAATAATGACTACAATATGTCACTGAAAGTTTTATTCAGACCATGAAATGAGATAACAAAAGCTTTAACACTTTTTTAGAAGTGTCAATTCTACACAATTTTATGGATTTTTTTTTAAATCTTGCTTGTTTTATTTCATTAATTCTTTTAAAACAATTTTTTTAGTGTTTATTCAGTTTTGAGAGACAGAGCATGAGCAGGGGAGGGGCAGAGAGGGAAACAGCATCCAAAGCAGGCTCCAGGCTCTGAGCTATAAGCACAGGGCCTGATGCAGGGCTCGAACCCACGAACCCTGAGATCATGACCTGAGCTGAAGTCAGGCATTTAGCCGACTGAGCGACCCAGGCACCCCGTTATTTCATTAATTCTTATGAAAATAGAAAAATGATCTATAGTAGTCTCAGATATCTGGTTAACTTGTGATTGGCTAAACATTACAATTGCATTATCACAAATACTTTGGGTTTTATTTTGTAATATTGTGTGTGTGTGTGTGTGTGTGTTTGCCTTTACATATATATATGTTCTTAATTGTGCATTTCTTAGATTAATATTAAATTAGTTATCATTCCCTGAGCTGACTCTCCTTTCAGGAATCTAAAGACCTTGGAGGCAAGAAGCCAGCATAGGATTAACAATTTGTCATGGATAATACACAAAGTAAATAAAGCCAATGTGAATAATTGGAAGTGGGCAGAGTTCTAACATAGGAGCTATTGAAAGTTAATTCAATACAAAGTTCTTCGTAGTTAATTCTTTCTTATTATCCAACCACTAGAATAGGCTGCCATTGATAACTTTCAAAAGAAAGAGGCATTTGTGTATTATCTGTGTTTTACCATTTTATCTGTAACATATAATCCTTTTCTTCTTTATAGAGTGTATTATAATAACTGAGAAATGTGCAAATTTTTCCATGGGTGCTTAACATTCTTTCAATTTTGACAAAAAGGTTTGGAACGTTTTCTGCATATTAGTATTAAAGATATGCATGTGTGGTTTCTAAAATGTCCTAAACTGAGATTACAGTAGAAGAAATGCAATTAAACTTTGTGAAAATGCAATTAAACATCATGAAAATGCATTCATTTATGACAAGGACTTGCATGTTCAGGTAGTGTTAAAATAATGAGGGATTAATAATGGCAGATTGAATATTTGAATTACATACCCTACTGTATGACCTTTTTAGCCTAATGACCTCTTCCACAGTCCACAGTCACTTTTCTTACAGCTAAAATTGTACATATTCTAGATTTCTGATTTATCAGTCTGCAAGGTACACAAAATCATATGAGACTTTGCTCCTTAATCCAGAATGTTGTTGATCAGATGTTAAGACATAGTTATATTCCTTTTTTAGTTATTTTGATATTTTATTTTCAAAATATGACCACAATGGAGTTGGAGGTGTTTAAATTAAAATTTTATCTAGGCTTTTCCTTAACATAGTTCCTATTTTTTTTCCAATTACAGGTTTCATATACACTGGAGAAGTTGTACATCGAATGCTAACAGCCACACAGTACATAGCACCTTTAATGGCAAATTTTGATCCCAGTGTATCCAGAAATTCAACAGTCAGATATTTTGATAATGGTATGTATTGGTTAGCCTGTTCTTTACTGAATGTGTAGTTTTAAACATAGATCAACAGATTCATATTAATATTTTATGACCTGGAGTTTTTCTGGTAAGCTGAATTGTAAATTGCTTGATGCAAATGCCTTGAGTTGACAAATATTATAGTATAACTGTTAATATGTAGATTGAAGTGTATGGTCAAATGTCAGTCATTTATCCATTCATTTGTTTGTTCAACAATTCTTTATTAACACCTCTTAGGCACTACAATAAATGAGTTGCTGCCAACGACTTCTTGAACAAAGCAAATACATTTATTTAATGCTATTTTCAGTAAGTCCTTACTATTGAAAAAACTAAATAAGGGTAATTTGTTATCTTCAAATAGAGCCAAGTGGCATAATACTTCAATATTAAATTTTTAAACCTATGAATGATATATACATAAGATCAACACACCTTTTAAAAACTACATAGTGGATAGTTAAAATACACCTATGAAAATCAAATTCTCCTGACTTTAAAATAGGAAGTAGAGCCTACAAGTATTTATCAAGTATAGTGACAATCTATCCCTACTATTTATTATTTGGAGACATATAAAATAGAGAAAACCTGAACTATGTCACTAAATGCTATTCAAATCTAAGTAAGGAATTTAAGGTTCTGAAGACCTTCAGATAAATGGATTTCATGTCTGTATCTTATGGTAGGTTATAACTTTAGTAGAGAAAATGGGAAAAGAAAAGTTTGTTTTGGAAAATCAAAGATAGAAATTTCTGTACTCCATAATACAAAAGTAGTATTTATTTGCCCAAATTACAATTTCATCTTTTAAAATTATGGAACTATTTGGTGTGAACCGAGTTATTTCTACTCATACTGAAAAAGGAAGAAATTTACTAGTGGGTAGTATAGACTTAATAGTGACAGTAACGTTGGGGAAATGTGATCATTTTGCTAAAAGCAATCTTCTAACCAGTGTGGTAAAGCCATTTTACAGGTGAAAACAGCAAACAAAGAAGGAAACTAAACATAGTTAGATATATACTCTGAGAAACACATTTCAAACAATTTGAAAAGCATGAAAAACTCTGAATTTTAGCCATAATAATTATCTTCTCCTATTATTTTGAGAGCAATCAAACTCTATCCTCCCTTTAAAAAATGAGGTGCCAAAGATAAGGATTTCCAAGTAGATTATAAAGATACTTGAGGCAAAACTATAACCAGACACTTATCTGAAACTTATTCCATGACCTTCCAGCCAGAATTAACTTAGTAAACAGGAAATGATTTGATGAAAGTTGATTATTTTTTTTAAGTTATTTATTTATTTCTAAGAGAGAGAGAGAGAGAGAGAGAGACAGCATGAACAGGGGAAGGTCAGAGAGAGAGGAAGACACAGAATCCGAAACAGGCTCCAGGCTCTGAGCTAGCTGTCAGCACAGAGCCCAAAGCGGGGCTTGAACCTGCGAACCGTGAGATCACGACCTGAGCCGAAATCGGACGCTTAACCGACTGAGCCACCCAGGCGCCCCAGAAAGTTGATTATTTTCTAAGCTCTGTCACTTACTAGATGATGTTAGAGACATGCACTCATGGGGGCAGTATTCTGATGACCGAGTTTTCATAATATTAACATAAAAAGCATAACGCATAATGACATAAGTAAGTCTCTCCAATAAGCATGTAGGACAGGGTACCAACATGTGGTCTGATGTATGAACTTAAGTGACACCTTCATCTTCCAGATAAGGAAAAGCATCACTAGATCTTGTGCCCATCATGAAAGAAATGGTGTAGGGTTGTCAGTCATGGGCCAGGAAATGAACCACACTAACTCAGCTCCTTAGAAATGTAAATTTCATTCTTCAACCCATGGTTTTCTTTTCACAGTAGATATTTTTACATCATAATTGTCCACGGAAAGTGCCTCCCTGGTTTACTTACCCAATTCCTCCTATTTAGGCACTACCTAGAGAACAGTAGGTGAGTTGGGGGCTACTTGGAGCAATAGAAGATTTTGTCTCCAAAAGCCACTCCCACCATCCTTTAGATCATAGAGTTTTAGATTTCAGTAACTTTTTAAAACTTTTTTAAGTTTATTTATTTATTTTGAGAGACAGAGAAAGTGTGAATGGGGAAGGAACAGAGAGAGAGAAGGACAGAAAGAATCCCACATGGGCTCTGCACTGTCAGCACAGAGTCTGATGTGGGAAAACCCTGAGATCATGACCTGAGCTGAAACAGAGAGCTGGATGTTTAACATACTGAGCCACCCAGGTCCCCCTCAGTAACTTTTAATTAAAGAGGAAACTTTAACAGAAATATTTAGCTTTAAATTTAATAACATCTACACTTAAATAATCTTTCAATTATGTATGAACTACTCAGTATGTATATAGAACCATTTAAGTTAATAAATGTTGCGGGAGCTATAATGGTACTACTTGAAATAAAAAACTTGCTTGCAAACTTATTGTTATTTTAAAAAGCCTGCTACTCATCATATATTAAGAATATCTTCATGGCACCTGGATGGCTCAGACGGTTGAGCATCCGACTTCGGCTTCATGATCCGACTTCACCATCTCAGGGTTCCTGGGCTCGAGCCCTACATCGGGCTCACTGCTGGCAGCCTGTCAGCTTAGAGCCTGCTTCGGATCCTCTGTCTCCGTCTCTTTGCCCCTCCCTCACTTTCACTCTCCCCCCCAAAAATAAATATTTTTTAAAAAAAGAATGTATTGGAATGTCTGGGTGGCTCAGTTGGTTGAGTGTTAAACTCTTGATTTGGGCTCAGGTTGTGATACCAGGTCATGGGATCAAACCCTGCACTGGGCTCCATACTGAGCACGTAGCCTGCCTGAGATTCTCTCACTCTCCTTGTGCCCCTCCCCCACTCACACATATGCTCTCGCTCTCTCTCTCAAGTAAGTAAATAAATAAATAAGAATATCTTCAGCAGAATTTACATTAAAGACATTTAATTACTCCATTTACATGGACATTTATTTGGCACAAAATTTGAGGTAACCATATTTTCATGTATTTAATGCAGAAATCCCTAGAAAGCAGGAACTACTCTGCCCTCCCCCACCACGTTGTAGGAGAACAAACAGGCTCTTACAGGTTGGGTCCAAGGCCCTGCAAGAAGTTGTAGAGGCAGGACAGAGGCTATGTCTTCTGCCCTCTAATTCGATGCTTTCTCTCTACCATCTAAGTGCCTAATAGAAATTAATGAATAAAGAGGAGACCAGACCTTGAGAGTTGCCAACATTCATGAAGGATAAAAGATACTGTTAGTGGGCATTTCCTGATCAGAACCCCCTTTACTTCTATGTTTATGGAAAACTTCCTGCCTATTATTGTCCTCTTGCATTTCTAATATTTAAAACTGATGGAGGTGTCTGAGTGGCTCAGTCCATTAAGTGGCCGACTTCAGCTCAGGTTACCATCTTGCAGTCTGTGAGTTCAAGCCCTGCATCAGGCTCTGTACTGGCAACTCAGAGCCTGGAGCCTGCTTTGGATTCTGTGTCTCCCTCTCTCTGTGTCCCTCCCCTGTTCACACTCTGTCTCTTTCTCTCTCAAAATTAAAATAAAACATTTTAAAAAAAGATGTTTAAAAACTGGTATGTATAGATACATAGATGCTTATATAAAGAAGAGATTTGAGTTTTCACGTATAACATGGGTACATGTATGAGTAAAAGCACCCAGATAAAATTCAGAAAGAAAATTTTTTGGCATCTAAATGTTTACCTCAAGGAAACAAATACATTGCTATATTGAAAGTGTACAAGGTGATGATTTGATATATGTATACTTGGCAACAGGAATCCCACTGGGAAATTAATTAACACCTCCATCATCTCACATATTTACCTTTTTTTATTCTTTTGGTGAGAACACAAGTTTTACTCTCAGAAAATTTCAGTTATACAATACAGTATTAGACACTATAGTCACCATGTCATGTATCAGATCCTTAGACCTTATCTGCAGTGTATATGAAAGTTTGTACACTTTTACCAACCTCTTGCTATTTTCTTCATCCCCTGACTCCTGGCAACCAATAGTCTAAAATGTATTTCTATGAGTTCAACTATGTTTTATTTTTAGATTCCACACTTAAGAGATACTATGCAGACTTTCTTTTTCTCTCTTTGGCTTATTTCACTTTGCATAATGTCCTCCAAATTATTACAAAGGCACCACTCTTTTTTAAGGCTGAATAATATTCACTGTGTGTGGGGGTGGAGGGTGTGCACATCTCCACTCATCTGTAGATGAACACTTGGGTTGGCCAATCCATATTTGGCCATTATGAATAATGCTACAATGAACAAGAGAGTACAGATATCACTGAAAAGTGGTTTTGTTCCCTTTGGTATATACCCTGTAGTAAGACTACTAGACGGTACTATAGTCCTAATTTTAGGTTCTTCAGGTAACTGTATACTGTTTTCCATAGTAGCTGTGCCAATTTACATTTCCCACAGACTACATGGTCTTCCTATTCTCCACACCCTCTCCAGCATTTGTTATCTCTTGTCTTTTTGATGGTAATGGGTATGAGGTGATATCTCACTGTGCTTTTGATTTGTATTTCCCTCGTGACTGGTGTTGAGCACCCTTTCATATACCTAGCTGGACATTTGTATATCATCTTTAGAAAAATGGCTATCTAGTTATTTTTCCCATTTTTTGTTTGTTTGCTATTTAGTTATGTGAGTTCCTTGTGCATTTTGGATGTTAACCTGAAAATATTTTTTCTTTCCCATTCCATAGGCTGCCTTTTCATTCTGTTGGTTTCTTTTACTGTACAGAGATTTTTTGTTTGATGAGGACCCACTTGATATTTTTGCTCTGGCTGCCTTTGCTTTTGGTGTCAAATCCAAAAAAAAAAAAAAATCATTACTGAAACAAGGAGCTTACCCTCTGTATTTTCTTCTAGACATTCTGTGGTTTCAAGTCATTTTGAGTTGGTTTTTGTGTATATTGATTTAGGGGTT